TGCAAGTGGCTCCGCCTCCTTTTAGTGCTCCGAACAGCATTTAGAAGAAAACTTTGAGGTTCGTGAACTCTCGTCAAGATGTCAAACTAGTCCGTCTGATCACATATGAATCAATACTCTGATACTGCATTACATTTGTCCTCACCTCAAATGAGAGTGTGCTCTGGTCGGTGGGAGGGGCTTAGTTTAGGCTCGAGCAAAAACAAACTTTGTTTATTTTACTGTAAACTTACTACGAGGAACTTTCATTTTTGCGTTGTTTTTAGCGGCCCCTGTGGACGAACGCGGTAGTGTTCCTGAGCACCAGACTCCCTTTAGAAAGCCTCTCAGCAGGGGTCTGACGGTCTGCTCCTCTCAGTCCTGGTTCTGGTTCTACGGTGCCTCCCTTCCCCCCAGCGATACGTCCTGGCTCTCCAGCAGCGTGGGGCCGGAGGAAGAGACCCTTCTGCAGGTCGAAGGCGGATCAGTTTAAAGTTCCTCACAGTAACTATTAAGACCACCATCCCTGCAGTAACACATAGGCGGTACGTTTCGTGCTGTCAGTCTTTACATAAGACTGCGTGGTCAGTGTCATTTTCTTTGTTCCATGCTCAAAACCTCAATTATTCTGCAAGCTAAGGGATGATTCATGACTGTAATAACAACCCATTGTGCGCTTTACTTCCATGACAACGAGGGTTGTTCCCAACCATATATTCAGCCGTCCAGCCGTTCTGTCTTGCTTCTTGTAATATTCTCACTTTCCTGCACTTCGTGTGTCATTTTATTCGTATGATTATTATTTAAACAGCCACTCGTACTTAACTCCTAAATATGCTGCACCTGACCTCCATCTGGCTGTAATCCGACACCCACCCGCTCCCTGTCACCTGGAACACGAGAGAGAGAGAGAGAGAGAGAGAGAGAGAGAGAGAGAGAGAGAGAGAGAGACGCTGTATACGGCTCTGTTGGTGGCAGAGACCTGTCAATCACAGGGTAGCCCCGCCCTAATGCACACCCTGCTTTATGGTCTGTTTGACTCTAAATGGACCATAATGTACTAAATGAACATCATGCTGTATTGAAGAAGACTTGAAACTAGAGATTGAGACCATAAACTCATGTTTACAATGTTTACTGAGGTAATAAATCAAGAGAGAAGTAGAGTCATTTTCTCATAGACTTCTATACAACCAGAGGAGTCGCCCCCTGGTGGACACTAGAGAGAATGTAGCTTTAACACATGAAGCTTTGACTTCACTCTTCTTCTTATAAAGAGGCGTCATTGGTGACAGTGTTTCCCTTAATCAACACGGTCTCTTCCTTGACGTAATCATTCACTGTGTTAATATAAAGAAAATGCTACATGCCCCTAACAAGTAAACAGAATGTAAACACACCTGTGAAAGCCTCGCTCTGCCACTGGTGGTCCTTCAGGAACCCCAAAACAAAGGAGCTGATGATCGACGGTTTCTGTCGGAAACAAAGAGCCTGCTTCAGCAGCCGGATCGATCCTCGGCTGTAATGCCTTAATGGCCGGTCGGACCCTCTGGCCCCGTCTCTTGTCTCGGGCTCAGATTGTTTTTAAATGGCTTCACTTTGTGGAGCTCTCGGCCGCTCTGATTGTGTTAGTGCCGGGCTGAACGGGGCACATTAGTGTTAATTCATCGTGTGTGTGGGTGGATCTACTTCAGACATTGATTTGAAATGTTCAAATCCTCCAGGTTGACTTCAGTGACTACACACATTCTGCCAGGCTTTCATCAACTTCCGAGGTCTTCCAGTTGGGCTCATCATGAGGATGTTGTCTCCAGTTGTCTGTCCGCCATGGCAGCACTTTGAATTTTTTAAATGTCTAACTTTGTGTCCAGTGTTTCTGAACTTTGTTTAATTAAGTTCTGAGGAGTTTGTGTTTCAGTGAAATCATTTGCACACTGTACACTTGATGCCGTTGCAATATTTAATAACAAACCTCCCAGTAAGCACCTGCGTGCAAATGATGTCAGTGCTAGTGGGAAAAGCTTTTTCTTTTTGACTTTGCAGCTCGTGTGCAGAACAGTGAAACAGAACCGTGAGGCTGTACTAAAGTCTAACATGCTCTCAATGACATGCTAGCATGTTGATGTTTACAATGTTCACCGTGTTAAGTTTAGCGTGCTAGCATGACAATACAATGAACCCAAAGTACAGCTGAGGCTGATGGGAGTATCACTACATTGGACAAATATGGGTCTAAAGATGAAGAGTCATGGGTTAGTTATTGAAAGGTTATCGAAAAAAAGACTGAAATGAACCAAATTTTCATGGCAGTCCATCGTTACACTTCATCATCAGCCATGAATGTCAACAAGATATAGTGCCAATCCTTCCAATAGATGATAAATAATGAAAACTTTGACCGGCTGGTGACGCTGGAGGAAAGATCCGAGGATCACCAAAGTTGTGAGAATCTTTATCTTGTTAAGATCTTTAATATCTGGTCAGGATTTCATGCCAATCCATCCAATAGTTGTGAAGATATTCCACTGTGAATGTGGTGGACTGAGTGACAGACGCGGAGCTGCTGGCACGGCTACAACTCTGGTGACGGAGTTACTAACTATCTGACTGGTGACGATAAACAGTGATCATTAAAGTCTCCTCTCTTGGTGTAATTAGGCCATATTCTCCTCCCTCCTCAGGCCTTATTATTCAGAGCAACAGATGCCCCTCTTCCCATTTGTCCCCCTTCTGTCCCCCCCCCCCATCCACACCCTCTTGGCTTATTTTACAACATTTCCCCTCTCCGGCTTGATGCCTCTTCGTACGCGCCAATACCTCTATTGTTCACACGTTTGATCCTTTTCCTTTCTACTTTTCCCTTCCACTTGACTTCTTTGGATCCTCTCTCTCTCTCTCTCTCTCTCTCTCCCCCTGCCGTTTTTCCTCTCTCCCTTATCCCTCTCCCCTGCCTTCATCTGCTCGGTGTCAGCTGTTATGTAACAGTCAGGTGGTGAGCTGGCCTGTTGATGGGCCTTAAAGGACCAGCGTCCTGACCGACACACTGCCGGCCGGACCCGTCATTGTGTGAGAGATCGCATGCAGAAGTATTAAGATTTGTTTCAGTTTGTAATCTCGTTAGAAGATAATCTGTCTTTTTGTTTTCCTAAACATCTGTTTAGTAAACGGCTTAGTTGAGAGGAAGTCATATCGGAAGATATAAAAAATGAAATGTCAACTTTTTTGGAAATGATTTAAACTGTATGTTTGATAAGGAACAATAACTGACTGCTGCATGTATTTATCTCCCTGACATCGGCACGATTGACTCAGTGAGCGCACAAATAGCTGCTAGTGTTGTTTTCAGCACTCTTTGCATTTCGGCATATTTTGAATCCAAGAAGCAAAAGGGAATTCTCTACCATATCATTTGCAACGCCATAAAAACGATCAAAGATAAAAGGCAAAACGCCGTCCAGAAGAAAAGAAAAGAGGACAAATCCTGCGTGGAGCTCTTTTCACCAGATGTCCAAACATATTCTTGGCTATTCGCAGGGCTCGACAGTAACCGTTGCCATTTTCAGAAATTGGCAACCAATCCTTGGCCTTTGGTCACCATCACTGGCAACTACTCTTTAAGATAAAAAAATAAGGACGGCAAAATGTGCCGCCCAAAATACATCAATTTTGAGTTTTTTGTAGCATTAGTGATATTTAAGTGTTGCTGTTAGAGTCCAGACAAAGCTGCATGTGCTATGACGTGTTTACTCACGACCGCACAGGCTTCTTCTTTCTACTTAGTTGACTGGGGGGTGAAAAGTTCTACTAAACCGTCAACATCACAAACAAATGTGCAAATTGATTGATTGACGATGAACCAGAACAGAAAACTAATAGGAAACGTGTCGAGTCGTGAGAGGCCAAGTATCCCGAACCGAAAATGATTCTGTAGTACTACACGGTATCATAATTACTCAAAATATAAGGTCACTAAAATGTCTAGAGGGACTAGAACTTGATGCCTGGTGACCACTTTTTAAAAGTTTGAGTTGACACAGTCGGTACTTTACATGTTTTAATATCGGTCATAATAACGGAGGATGAGACTGGTAGAGATGCTGAAGGTGTGTTCCATGAACCCCAGAGAGGAAGGCTCAGTGTGAGCGTTGTCATCAGTGTTTGGTAGAAAGGTGGAGCAGCATGAGGGGACCATATGGTGGAGCCTCTCTGCCAATATGTGTTTTTTCCACCTTTTTACTTTTCTTCTTTTCATTCTTACACAATACATTTAGGAACAACACATCATGGCTCTCCACGTCGTGTGTTCTACGAAAGACCGCTTACCTAATCACCACAAATGTTCAAATGCTCACTCCATGAATTAGCTATTTCTAACTGAAGTAATTATTGACACCTACTGTATTCCCACTGGCTCTCCCACGTATTGCCCTCGGGCGCTTTGCAGCGCTGCATTGTTGTCACGAGCACACCTCCTTGTTTGATTATGCCTCGTTCTAATGGGTTGTGCACATCTTCTGCACATTAATTATTGCCCGTCTACACAGCGCTGTGGTTAATAACGCTGTGGAGAGAAGAGCACTCTTCATTGTTCATTTCCACAGCGCTCGGTTGCACTCGTGCTGCATGAAATTCGTGCGTCTAGATTAAAAGCATCCTCATAATAGTCTGTAGCCTGATGTAGATGCATCACCAGTTCATCAATACACTTTGTGGATGCCTCGAGCATTAGGTGTACATTTACACAGAAGTGGGAGTGTAGTGGTGGTTCCTGGGCATTGATATGTCGGGCACCTCCGGTTTGAACAACACAAATGCAGATCAGTAACCAGTCTCCAGTTGTTCCTTGTTCTCTTATCATGGCAGTGCGTTTAATGTTTGAATCATATACCATTTTGAATATCCTTAAATATTTTTGAAATACAGACGCTGATTAATAGTCTCTTTCATGTTCTCTCTCTCTCTCTCTCTCTCTCTCTCTCTCTCTCTCTCTCTCTCTAGGTGCTGATATTTGCTGAAGATGAGTAGTGGGGGGGGGAAACACCCCGGAGCCCCCCAGAGGGGGAGAGTCTCTGAAGAGGAAGGACTGTCAGCCGGACCTCCTGCTGGGGCCCAGGTGAGGACCTTCATCTTCAGTCCACCATCACTATAGAGCACTAGATGCCTCTACAACTAACCTTATAATAAACGTCAGGAGCTTCAGCACAGTGCAATCAGTTATTATTATAGGCTTATTATTATGTTATTTTTTTGTTCAATACCAGTATTTCTGCACAGCTGCAGGTAAAGATCAGGCCACACTATCATTATTAATATCATATTATTTGATATTTGGTGATGAAGTCATAAAATGTTTGAAGCTTCACACGAAAACCTCAAGTACAGCCCAATAATTATTAAAATAAGAAAGAAAAGCTTCAATTTATTAGTAATTATTTTTAATAAATGGCGAGACTTTCTACGGCTCTTTTCATAAACAGGCTGGAGGGAGAGGGGGAGAGAGGGAGAGAGAGAGAGAGAGAGAGAGAGAGATGAAGAAAGAAAAAAATGCTGCTGCAGCATTTTTGCCGGCGACAGTTTATTTAAGGGCCGACGGCTCGTTGTGCTTTCAGTGTCCGAGAGGATGAGAGGCGAAGGTTGTAGTGACGACGTACCGAGGGTGTAATGAGGACACGTGGATGTCATAGTGAGCTTGTTAGTAAGTTCACTTCCTTTCAGAGGGAGCAACTTGGTGTAAGAGTGAATCAAACAATACCAAAGTTACCCTTTAACCACTAAAAACAGAGACGCTTCTCTCAGTTTTGTCGTTAAGTTTTGACGATGTCTTCGTCCCTGCAGCCCTAAGAGGAGCACGGAGAGGAGGAACCGGGAGCAGGAGAACAAGTACATCGAGGAGCTGGCCGAGCTGATCTTCGCCAACATCAACGACATGGACGACCTCAACGTGAAGCCGGACAAGTGTGCCATCCTCAAGGAGACGGTGAAGCAGATCAGGCAGATCAAGGAGCAGGGTGAGGGTCCTCTGTGCTTCTGCTTGCTCATGCTCATCACACTTTCAGACAATAAGGCTGTTGTGGGGTTCAACAGGCAGTCAGCTCAGAATCTATTTCAGCAGAGCAGAGATGAGTTCAGAAGTTTAACTTCTCACAGTTGTTGATCTCTCTGAACTATTTCATGATGAAAGAGAGTCTCTATTCACATCCTCTGTCCTCCCTGTCTTCTCTCCTTGTTACCTTTTCTTATCCATCTTACATCCTTCTTCAACCACCTTTGTCCTTTCCTCTCCTCCTTTCCTTGTGTCTTTTTCTTCTCTCTTCTTTCCTCTTTCTCCTTTCCTATCGATCCCTTCTCAACGACATTGGTCCTTTCCTTTCTTTCTTTTCCTTTCCCCTTCCCCTCTCTCTGTCTCTTTTTCCCCTCCATCTATCATCCTCTCTTTCTCTCCTTCCCCATTTTACCTTTGTTATCCCTCCCTCACCCTTCCTCAAATCTTTTTTCCATTTCAATTCCTTTTATTTTACACAATTTCCTTTCGTTTCCTCTCCTCTTTTCCTTTTCCAGTCCATCTTACATCCCTCCTCAATCACCTTTGTCATTTCCTTTCATCTCCTCTCCTATTTTCCTCGTGTCTTTTCCTTCTCTCCTTTCCGCTTTTCACCTTTCCTATGAATCCCTCCACAACAATAATGGTCCTTTCCTCTCTTTCTCTCCTTTCTCCCCTCTATCTCCACTTTCCTCTCCTCCTATGCCTCCTCTCTTTTCTCTCCATCGTCCTCCCTCTCCCTCCTCTCTCTCTCTTTTCTCCCATCTCTCCATCGTCCT